CCCCCCCTCCTTTCCAGGATGCTGTTGATGCTCCTCTGCCTGCTCCCTTGAGCAGCATCCTGGAGATATGTTTTGCCAAAATTGAATTCCTATGATTTAATAGGGAATTCCTTCTCTTTCAGAAATGTTTCATCAGTAATTAACTGCCAATTCGAGTTAGACAAATGTTTTATTAAAAAACAAAAAATTGTCAATCAAATGTAAATATAAAGACTGGTTCCTTCTAATAGCATGCTAGTTGTCCCATATGGTAGATCTGTGAGGCGAGAAATTGTGAGGGAAACAGAATTTCCATACGAAAAAGGTTTGCTGATAAAAATTAGAAAGCTTAAGAGGTAACTTTCTAATATGATAGTCGTATTTTCACAGCCAATCCAATCCAATGACCTTTCTGGAATAAAATACCATAATGATGATTCCACTTTTCAGCATTCTCTCAGCCATTTTACTTTGAACATACGATTCAAATGCATGAAAAACAGAAATTCAAGTCCACCTTCTTTCGACTCTTGATCTATAAAGAAGTCCTTTTTTCAAGTGATGATGCTAATTCTTCCACTCAACGTTTGTCAACATGTCATCAATATCTTTAGCGGTCGAGTCTTGCACATTAAGAGACAGCAGGACAAACAAACTGTTGACACCCCTTCAGCTTTGGTCAAAAGCACTCTACCCAACATCGAAAGATCCTGTTGAAGCCAAAAATCCCTAATAGTCTTTACGGTTTTTTTTTTTTTTTTTTTTTTTTTTTTAGCGGAAACATTATTATACGGGCATTCTTTAACATTCTTACAAATATGAATACCAAGATACCTAACTTCCTTCTTTATAGGTGTATTATTTAGACTTGTTTCCTTCGTTTGAGTTTAAGCCATAATTTCACGTCGATTTTTTATTTGTATTTTTTGTAAGCCAGATGCGATGAAAAATGGTTGAATCAAAAACAAAGTGTGTGCGTTGAGTCATTTTAATTTCATCCATTTTCTGATCCGTTTTATCTTCACAAGGGTCACGGGGCGTGCTGGAGCCTATCCCAGCCGTCTTCGGGTAGGAGGCGGGAGACAACTTGAACCGGTTGCCAGCCAATAATAATAATAATAATAATAATAATAATAATAATAATA